AGCGATCACCCAGGCTGTGGTGTGCCCGAGCATCAGCATGGTCAAACGGTCCCATTGTGCGATACATGCCTTGGGATGCGACACGTATGTCCGCCTGCGCCATGATCTGCTGGTCGGCTGTACAATGAAACGTTTACCCGTCGGATCCATAAGTAGATACGTCCACCTGCTGTTGCTGAGGGCCTGTTGTTTGAGACCGCCACCACACTTGCGTGTCTTCAGAGCACACTCACTGGCCAAGTGACCACACACCACACACGTAGTTTGGGCTTGCGGTGAGGTGGTGGTGCACGGTGGAATGACAGATCGGATCGCGGATGAACGCGGAGGAACATTTACCCTCGTTGGATCATGGATCGTGGATCTTGCCCAACTTCTTTGTGCTATTGACAGTTGGTATTGCTCGCAACCGTTACAGCACGACCACGTCTTCAACGCACACCCGCTGGCGAAATGACCAACCATGAATGTATGAGAGACAGACACTGATGTGAGACTGAAACACGTTGTGCCAGCCAAAATCCCAATCTATCAAGACCACTACCGGTCGGGACTACCCCTTCCCCTCCCCTTCCTTGCCCATTGCAAATAGATGGACCACCCGCACAGCCCCTTCCCCGCCCCGGCCCCATCTGCGGCCCCATCCCCGCCCCTCTTCTCGCAAGCCTCCATGACACCAACGTCAGAAACGGTCGCATCCGGTGCCCAGTCGGCATTTTCTATATACCTTCCAGCATCATGGTCAACTCTCGCTTGACCTCAACCACCTGCTCTACCATGCTGTGCCTATTTCATCAGAAAATTTAAGACGACGAACAATAAATAAAACGTGAAACGATCCGGACCGTGACAAGAACGTCCATTTGCTGCAGGAAACCATCAACCACTCCCAATCGGGCCCCTTTCTCACCCACCGCCCGCAGCTGGGGCACCAACCCCGCCCAAATCCGGACACCCCCCCATCCCACTACTCCTTGCAGCCCAACCAACCTCTGACACATTCACCTTTGGTGGCTGACATCTATCTCTCTACCTCCCACCGTCCTTCTCACCCCTCATTTGCCCTTAATCACCTGGTGTACCAGGTTTTGGTTCTGCCAGTCCTGGAGAAGTCAAGGTTAAAGCCGCCAATAAAAAAATCAACGTGATAGCGACCTAGGTCGCCACAACAACGTCCATTTGCTGAAGGATACCCACTATTGGGACTATCCCTTCGCCGCCTCGGCCAACACCTGGCCCACCACCCCGCCAAACCCCAATGCGCACCCATCCCGACGTCGAAGTCCGACACGGGCGCGTCTGGTACCCGCCCAGCCAGCATCTGGCCCTCTACCAGCTTCGTTTCCGACGCTCGCTTGGTCTTTCAACCACACCTACCGTGCCATGGCTGGGTTGTTCAAGCTTGAGAACCCAAAGTTCAACGCTCCAAACCGCAACGATGTTGCAAGTCACACCGCCACAACAACGTCAATTGCTAAAGAAGACCAACGATAACCAGTCGAGACTACGTCCTCCACACCAACAGCCAACACCCAGGCCACCCACCCTGCCACTCCCTTGCGCGTCCTCACCCCGCCACTACCCCCCGCAAATGTCCATGCCAGAAACGGTGGGCTCTGGTGCCCACCCAGCCAGCATCTCCCCCTCTACCTCTCAGCATCATTCCCGTCCCTGGCTTGGCCCCAACAACGTGCTGTACCGTGCTTTGATTGTGCCTATCCTTGAGAAATGAACATTCAAGAGGCCAAACCACAGCAACGTTGCAAGCCACACCACACCACCACAAAAATCTCGCTTGCTACAAGAAACTACTAGTTGGGGTCGCCCATTCCCCACCCACCACCAAAAATGCCCCACCCACCCCGCCCAAACCCTCATCCCGCTACTCTCAACGCAACTCCTCATGTCGCCAACGGTACACACGGTCAGGTCTGGTGCCCAGCACCTCCTTTTACTCTATCGACACCGTCACCACCACTCACTTAACCTCAACTACCAACTGTACCATGTTTTGGTTGGGCCTATCCTTGAGGAGCAGTGTTCACCCATCTTCGAGCGTGAGGGACGCCCGGGGGGTGACCTCCGGAGTCAAATTTTGACAACCACTCATCGAAAATATATACTTGTCTACGTAGATAGCACCCTACCTTTAACCCCCTCCACCTTGCTCCGTCCTCTCGAGGACGCGTGGTCAATGGTCTAACCGCTAAGGCATGCAAAACATAAGAGTACGCCCCCCCCCCCCCCCCCTTCCCCAGGTGTCGAAAGACGTGCACCTTGGCTTGGGCACAAACACACCCTATCGCGGAGGTGTAACGGTTTCCACTCGCTCCGACAGATCCAACAGTTGTAGCGACTGTTTCATACTTGTACACGTCATGTGCTTGCAGCCGCCGACCTTCTTTTCTGCCACCGCACAACTCGGAAAAACTTTGTAGAGGCGGCTACGATCCCTGCAATGAAAGGCCGTCGTGCCTCGTGTTCACAATCGCGCCCGACTTCCGGCACGATCACAGGCACGACATCGAGATTAGCCTCGATTTTGGTTCCTTTAGCGCCGACGACAGGAAATCGGGCCGGCAGTCCTCCCCGAAGCCGATCGATCCGGCAGAAACAGTGCTAGCTGGAGATGAGCAAGGTGCAACATCCAGCTCCAGCTCTAGCTTAATTCCCGTCTTGAGCCTTGGACGGTGGTTCATTCTCTCCTTCGGCGTTCTTAGCGACGGCGACTTGAGTTTCATTCCGGAGCCGTTCAGCGACTGGGCTGGACACGGAGGAAGTGGCGGGTGCTTGCAGCGCTGATCTCTTACAGGCCCTCCCAGACCCTCCATTTTAGCTTGTGCCAGACGTGCTACCCGGCGATGCCTCTTCCATGCTCCTCCTCAGGTTTGCGGCGGCGGCGGCGACGCGTTCTTGGAAAGCCTCGAGATCAGATGAAGACATCTCCGATGAGGAAAGGCCGCGCGAAGAAGCCACGCCTGTTCCAGAGCGCTTTACGTAGTGGTCGCAGGCGCCGAGTAGGACACACCGAGGGATAGACGAATAACACAGAAATGGATGATGAGTTCGATGATGACGTCTTGTGCGGAGAGGGGAATCACTCGATGCAAGGGGAAATGTCGTACCGGTGTGAAAAACGGTCAGACTCAGGCAGACACACGGTATGGAGCCGTCCTTGCTGGTGCCGAGGCCAGAATAGCAGTCTACGACCAGGAAGAAGCCGGTATCAACTCAACACACGAAAGTAAGCGCAAGGTGCCGAGTTCTGCCAGAACAATCGGTTTGTCCTAGGATACAGCTATCTACGACTCGCGGACTACCTCACGGCGGATCACGCTTGGCAACTAGCAAGCTCGATCTGTAAAAACTCAGACGCGCTCTCTGCCGTCTTTGTCGAAACGCGAGGTGTAGTCTATGCTCTTATGGTTGCGGCAAGCATGATCATGGGTGACCCCTCCATATATTCTTCAAGATGCACACACTTGACATCTCAAGCACGCGCCCCTGACTCATGTCTGAGGAGGCGGGTCTTCCGTGATATGGATTATTACCTCTGTGTCGATGTCATTATTCACCGGTTGAGTTTCTTGTTGCCCTTGCCGCTCCGTTGCGCTTATTGGCGGCGAACACGACCGCCGCCATCCTCGCTCTCCCCGTCTTCGATGGCGATAATAAGGGGGCGCTATCAATACAGTTTCGTCAGACATATATTTTGGCGAGAGTTGCACGGTAGTTCGTTCTGCGGCCACAACCGATAGTGGGCGTCGGTGCCGCACAATGTGGGGAATAAGGACCGGGCGTTTGGCTAAGATTCAGACAGGACACGTCAGATATTGCACACACTAGGTCAGCGGACAGCCCTGAAAACGTCGTGAGACAAGTACCTGTGGTGCAGCAAGTACAGCGTAGATCTACCGAGAAACAAAATGTCATCTTTATTCTCCCCATTTGTTTCTAATCTTTACTCTCCCCATTTGTTTCTCTACGAGGTTGCTACCTATGACAATATGACAACATGACACTGGTGAGCCCGCAAATGCGAGACTTCACTCTCCGGTCGCGAGCAAACAACTCGCCATCTCCAAACGTGTAGCTCATTCCAATGGTCTTGGGTGGTTTTCATGGGTTGCGGCAGGGCACCGCAAACGTCGAGGAGAGTAACTTCGACAAAAACTGTGAGAAACGCAAGGCCCATAGTAGCAGGAGTCGTAAGGGATAGATCCGTCAAGTGTCACGAAACTCGAGCACGTCCTCAAAACCGCTCCAATATCAATCCATCGATCCCGTTTTTTGAATTGACGAGGAGCACGGCGCACCCTCTCCATCTATTCGATGTTCATCACCTGCTGTTCGCTGTGGTCCGCAGCGCCGATCTCATACCGACCATTGTAGGGTTTCGGTCGCGCCTAGAAGTGTCGTCCATCGATGCCTCTTCCATGCTCCTCCTCAGGTTTTCGGCGGCGGCGGCGACACGGTCTTGGAAAGACGCGAGGTCACGCAGAGTCATCTCGGGGGAGGAACGGTGGGCGGAAGCAGCGACTTCCCGCAAACCCTGCAATGTACAAAGGGTGCAGACTGTAAGGACCTCATGACAGCTCTTCGATTGGGGCTTTGTCTGGAGAGGACAATCGTTCTGTGATTTTGTTGTATTGGTATTACGAAGACAATGCAAGTTCATCTCTGTCCACAAACAAGATTTCAGGATATATCAGCATCAACGGAATAGTGTTTTTACTGATCTTCGGGCAACATATGGTATGTCGTCTGTGGGTAGAGAACGGCCTTGACAATCCGGTGGTACAACAGTGTATCGAAAAAGCGTTACAGTTTTTCTCACATCACGGTAGCGTCCGCACACATGCACGTTGGCCCGCGCACGCACAACACAGATGCCCCGTACTAGATAGATAGAGCGACAATGTTTCTATCACCGTTCTCCCCTAAAGTATACTGTCCTGCTTGCATGGTACTAGTCAATGGCCTCCCAATTTACGTGGAACTCAGGTCACCTTCGGCCACGTCTTCGGACAGGGTACGCAAGTGTCACGGAGGTGTCCCGGTGTCCACTCGCTCCGACAGATCCAGCAGTATTCATGGTTGCACATTGAACAAACCATGTGCTTGCAGCCTTTGTTTTTCTCCGTTGCCACTTCGCAGTTTGGACACGGTTTTGTAGTTGTGGCTACGGTCGTCGCCGATGCACGATCCTCGGGCGTTCGTGCCGCACGTTCTCGTTCATGCCTGGCTTCAGGCCCGATCATAGGCACGACATCGAGCTGAGCAGCATCGATACGGCTCCTTAGATCACTGCCGAGACAACGCTGAACACTCAGGCCGACCATGTGCGCGTCGCAATCCGGATCCACACACCTAATCCTGTCCCACCACACGGTACCTCGGGGTAGGAGCGTCTTTTCAACATACTGGGTGGTGCAATCAGCGCAAAGGGCGTGCCCGGAAGTACACCTGCTCCCAGACCTCGAGTCGGTGACCATGTTCTCACACAACTCGTGGAAAAGCACGCATTCCGTACCGGACGATGAAGTTTCGCTCGTGGGCGCCCCGTCAGTCTTTCCAGCAGGCCAAACGCTGACGACAGAACTGGTACGCCGGAGAACACTGTTGATCCTGCTCCCAAACCCACGTGCCGCGGCCGCTCCTGCGGGTGTGGGCGGGGACGAAGCCTTCTCGAACGATGGACCAAAGGCAGAGGAAGCGCGGAACACTTGCGGCGTGTTCTCCCTCCCCGAGCTGAAACCTATCGTGCCTCCAGCGACCGATGGAGCCATGAACGAAAATCCACCAGCGTGTTTGGCCTGTGGGTTGTCCTCGACCGGCTGTTTGCTGGTGAGGCCAATCACGGTCCGTCTGGCCCTACCTGCAGTGGAAGAACTAGGACCTGTGAACAGCCCCTGCGTATTCCCAGCTTTGGCGACGCTGGACGCGGCATGGGAGCCAAACAAACTTCTCTCAGGTGGTTCTCCCTTGGCGGAGCCAAACGAAAACCCGCTAGCTCCAGCTCCAGCTCCTGCTCCTGCTCCTGCTCCTGCTCCGGCTTGAGCTTTAGGCAGTGGCTGAGCCTCCCCTTCGATTGTCCTAGTGCCAGGAATAAGAGATGGGGCTGATGTTCGTCGTCGAAGCGCACCGATCCGGCGTCTGGGTTTGTCGTTTGCTGATTTGTCCGCGGGCAAGCCAACCGAGAAAATGGCGGCGATGTTGATGGGTGGAGGCGAAGAAGCAGTTTTTCCAGGTTCATCGCTAGGTCCAGCTTGAGCTCCGGGCAGTGCCCGAGACTGTCCTTTTAGAGACGGGGCTGACAAACGTCGTTGAAGCCTACCGACCCCGCTGACTTGACGGTTCTCACCGAAGGTGAACGCGGCGGCTGTGGCTGGTGTGTTCTGTGCTGGGGGGGCAAACAAGAACCCGCCGTTACCAGGTTTAGCAGGAGGCGAAGCAGGCGTAGCTCCAGCTCTTCCTCCGGCTCGAGCTCTAGACAGTGCCTGAGCCTCTCCTTCGGTTGTCTTAGTGCCGGGGATTAGAAATGGTGCTGATGTTCTTCGTCGCAGGCCACCGATCCGACGTCTGGTTTTGGTGCTCGCTGGTTGGTCCGCGGTCATGCCAACCGAAAACATGCCGCCGGCGACATCATTAGCTTGTGGTGAAGAAGCTGTACCTCCAGCTCCAGCTCCGACCTGAGCTTTGAAGAGTGAGTGATCCTGTCCTTTTAGGGATGGGGCTGACAATCGTCGTTGAAGCCTACCGATCCCGTTGACGTGAGGGTTCACTCCGAAGGTGAACGCAGCGGCGGCGGCTGGTTTGTTCGTTGCTGGTTGACTCATGGGGCGGGCAAATGACCACCCGCCGGGAACAATTTCGGCAGGGCGTGAAGCAGTCGTAGCTCCAGTTCCAGCTCCGGCTTGATCTCTACACAGCGCCTGAGCCTCTCTTTCTGTTTCGGCCATGGATGCCGCGGTAGAAACCGCTCGTTTGGGTACAAAGCCTGTCAGTTCGGCGCTGCTGAAGCCCAACACAGGGGTCCTGGGCTTAGGCCGCTGTCGAAAGTACGGGGTGGGGGGAGCGGGAAGACGGGGAGGTCACAAATGCCGTTCGGCATGCGGCATGCTGTATGGTGGCGTTGTGAAGCAACCTGTATCGGGTGACAAGGCTGTGGTCGCCTAGTACGTCATGGCTTTAGAAATTTGAACATGGTGTCCGGGATTCACATTTTCATGATTGGTTCAGTACGCACAGTTCACGACTTCGGGGACCGCCTTCTCCTGACCTGGTTCGCACCATGATACTTTACATCCACACACCATGGTAGTTCACCAGCCATCAATTGTTATGTTGAATGTAATACATACCGTGACCTGTGATCGATTACGTAGATCCTGAGAGTTTTTCCAACAGCTTGGAATTATCGACACCTGGCGACCCCAACGGATTAGCACGAGGACCATTGCGCTCTACGGTTCAATTCATCCGCTTCGACCTCCGTTTCATTTGTTCATGTGTCCTAGCACTTTTTCGTGTATGCCATCAGTGTCTCGTACCGCCAGAAAGGGAGTATCCGGAAAGAGTAAATGCCTCCTGGCCGTTTCCATTCCTCCGAACCCTACTTCCCGTGCATTTCTCATTGTAACCCCTGGACCTCCTTGTCTGTGAACCGCTAGCGGGCAATATCACTACAATGGGAGTATTGTCGTTGTTGTTGCTGATGCTGTTGCTGTTGTTATTGGGTAGGCGTGGTGTCCGGTGTCTGGTGGTGGTGGTGTTGTCATTGCCGCCGGTGCTGTTGATGATGGTATGATATGGATGTGGATTGTTTTCTTCACGTTTGGTGTTCTGTGCTCGCCTCTAACATGTTGTTGTTCTGTTGCTGAGAGTGCAAGCCAGCTAGAAATCGGGTGCTGTTTTTGTCGTCCTCGTCATTGTATTCTCGTATTAGAACAACTCCGACACGTCTTGTTGATCAATTCGTCTGTTGCTTATAGGTGATGCAAACAAGGGAATATATGATCTTTTTGTAGTGCCGTGGCACGAAACAACGCCACCACAACGAAACTACCGTACACCGAGCGTACAATATTTCCCCGAAACGACCGTTTACAGAACCACATCTCACCCACCGTACTAGAGTCTACGCCTGTAGAGCACAGACCACCGATCAATGAACTTACCTTCCCGAAGCCCATCTGAGCACGCGACCATCGGGCGGGAAGGCCAATCCCCAAGTGTCCGTACTTCTTGAGGATGTTACCGATCAGCACGTCCTCGTTGGTCCTGTTCGAGAAGATAAAGCGCTTTACATTGTAGAACAAGTTTGTGCAATAGTACGTACGTGGAAGACCAGGACCTCACCAAATAAAACGACACAAAAATGTCGCTGCGCAATGTTGGCCGGTTTCTTTGAATGAATGTGTTTCCTGCGAATTTGGGGAGTCGGCATAGGCACGGACCCCATAATTGAGCTGTCGAGGGGGTTGTGCTTCCTCAAAGAATTGCTGGTACGATTCTCATATTCCTTTCGACTTCCTCCACATCTTCGGTAACAAACGGCGAGCGAGGAAACTTGAAAAATCTAGTCGAAATATCACTTCGACACGACGGAAAGCCACAAATGTTTCCACGGAATTCGGTGGTGCCTGGAATCCCAGCCGCACCACGTAAGCAGACGTTGCAACTTCGTCTGGTTTATGGTTGCAGGTACCCAAGGCGGAAAAGATAACGCTTCCTAATGGTACCGCAAAATCTCCCCTTCCGTCTTCGCCCACCTCCTCCTCTCTTTCATTCCCAACGAACCCACTAAAGCGATGTCTCAGATGTACTCGTTCGTCCGCCAATTTGTCCCAAACGCGGATGATTCGGCGTGTACGTGTGCTTGTTTCGCTTACGCCGGAGAAAGGTTACATGACCCACCTGAATTCGTCGAGCAAGAAGTCAACCCGTGCCACATTCTCTGGATTTCCCTTGGCGTACGCTTCTCGCATCCACTCCCTCAGCCCCTCAGGGCCCCCTCGCCCGTCTCCCACTCCACCTCCGAACGCCGGTGAAGGCACTACCCTGTGTGAGAGAGTTCCACATTGAGAGGAGGCCTGAGAGGACGTCGGGGAGAGACCCCCTACTTCTGTTGCCTCCGCCCTGGCTGCTACCTCCTCCACTCTTGTCACTGCCACTTCCATCCTCGCCGCCGCCTCCGCCATCCTAATAGCTGCCGGGGCCATTGTCGCCATCGCCGCTTGCTCAACGGTGGCGATGGCGGCCCTTGCATCTTGCACAAACGCTTCCGCGTTGTGGGGCGCGGTCCCGGTCTCTTCTTCTTTGGTTGAGGAGACCTCGGACCGCGGCGTCAATTGAGGGGTCTGCCGCACGACAGATGGGTCAAAGTGTGGAGCAAACAAACGTCGTTCATTTTCAACGCGTCCACATATTCTGGCGAGTTACACAAACCGTTTACAAGAACAAAGCAACAACGCCGGCAAAGGTATTCGTGGTTTCGATGGGAATTGTGAAGGCATTTCGCTCAGGCCGGGTATGGCATATTTCTCTTGGATGCAACCGAGCTGTAAGATGTAGCCTATGACAGTTGTGCGAAAACTGATCACAGGAAGGCCTGTGTTTCTATCGTGTTCGAACGAACTCCTCTCGATTAGGAACACAACGCTCTCTTTTAGATCAAGGTTTTTGGGGAAGGTGTGGAAAAAAACGCTCGTTTTCAATAGATTCAGCGTTGGCCGGTCGATTGAAGAGAACAACACGTAATCGTTTTGGCTCAAGATGACGGAGGCTATGAACAGTTCGAGCGCACCGCCTGCCGCCTCTACCCTCCATTCCCATCCTGATGACTGATGATCAGGATTGATAGTGGTTAGAGAATCACCCTTTGTGAGCTACGTAGGTACGTAGACAACGAGACTCTTTCTTTCTTTGCATTACATTATGTTGCCGGGGTGACCAGTCGGGGTCGTCGTGATAGTTCTACACTGCGGACGGGTTGTGCACCGAGGGAAAACGTGGGTGTTTGCAGAGCCGATGTGTCGCACAGACCTTGGAACACTCTCCATCGATGTTAGAAGTGGACGCCATCGATGCCTCTCCTCTGTGCTTCCTCGGGCGTACGGCGGCGGCGGAGACACGTTCTCGGAAAGCTGCATCAGACGAAGACACTTCGGAAGAAGAATGACAATCAACCGAGCAAGCAGCGCCTTCCCGGAAAGGCTACGTGATGATAATAAGCGCCGAGCACGACACGGAGGGATCGAAGGGTATCATAGGAATGGATGATTAGCTAGATTACGTAGATCATCATGTGCAGAGAATGGAACCTCCAGTCAGGACCAGCGGATTAGCCCACGAGGCAAGCACACGACATGGAGAGCCATCCTTGCAAGTGGCTAAGCCAGAACCAAAATCACGAGAAGGCGGAGAGCGTGTACACACGAAGTTCACAAGAAGGTGGCGACTTCTGCCTTCCAATCGATTAGTAGGGCGCAACTCGCCCTTCATACGGCCCGGGACAATCACCTGATGAGCGAATCTCGTTTGGTAATTGATGAACCCAATCCAGTGAACATCAGGCGTGCTTTGCGTACCGGCTTTGCAGTGCAAGGTGTATGTTGTGACCACACCCGCCATCCATTCTTCTACAAGGAACGAGTTGTTCTACTGTAGTCAAATGAACTTGTATTACACAACCCGGACACATAAAAGAGGCGAAGCTCGTTGATGATTTGCTGAACAATCACTTCACCTCTCCTTCGATGCCGTACTTCATTGGAAGAGTTTTTTATTTCCCTTCCCGCTCCTGTACACCTCTTCCCGGCGTACACCACCGCGGCCTTCCTGGCCCTTCCTAGCGATTCGATGTGACGAAGAAGGGCAGGCGTGTTATTACGGTTTTCGGTCAGGCCAATTCATTTCCGCCAGATGTTTGCGTTCGCCGACCGAGCGATACACGGGCCGACGGTGCACAGAGGTGCAATGAAATGTGGGGGTGTATATGTACAGTAGGAGACGCGACGTTTGCTGTAGAGTAAAAATGTTATAGGCGCTCAGACATTCACCAGCAAATCATTGTGTCTTGAGTACCACATGTTTTGTTCAGCAACTAACGCTGCTAGCGGCATTCTCCTGCTATAGCATGAACATGGTTTCGACGGACGACAACACCATTCACACGAGCACGCACATGTGAGACATTAATTCATGTTGGGTTGAGGACACAGGTGTACATGCATGTTTGGGTGTAAACATTTGTTCTCTGGGCCCTTCCTTCTGGAAATTTTCCCGATAATCAAATTCATGGCTACCCCGACAATCAATTACTACATGTTTGGACGCAAACGTTTGTTCTTTGGGTCACCTCTACCCTTCCTTCTGGAGATTTTCCCGACAATCAATTACTGGCTAGCAACAACTATCCCATCCCAGAGGGAGCAGGGGGGGTGAGCGCTGCAATTTTGGCCCCATGTGTTTCTCGCTGTAGTATCGCACTTCATATGTGTACACAAACATCGTAGGCTACTATTATGTAGACAATAGCTTACCAGTTCACGTTCACGCTTGCTACACGCACGACGCCTGTGATCCAACGAGATTGATTTGTGTCCTTCAGACTACTGAACCTATTGTCCCGGAAAATACGAGCGTGAAGCACGGAAGCGCCGTAAAGAGTCCCACACACAGCGAGGGGAGTGTGCGCCAGGGTCCCCTGGGGAACATGTCGATGCCAAACGAACCGGGGTCTGAAAATTCTAGAGACGACGAAACAATAGTCGAACCTTCACCTGCATGCACAACTATCATGTCAAACACACGATTTCGGGCGATTTCAATGGGTTGTGGCACCACCACAGGAAAACACTGAGGGGAATAGAGTCGACCATGACATTGAAGCATTGACCACCGACAGTTACAGAGATATATGGGAACGATCCATCCCGCGGTCGCAGAACTCGAACTCGTCCTGAAAAGACCGGTCCAAATCCACCCATAGACAAAAGAACGAGGAGCACGCTGTGACGGCCAGCTCTCCCCATCGGTTAAGTTAAGCGTTAATCACCTGTTGTTCACTGTGGACACGCAGTTAGGGTCCGTGTGTTGCCCGGAACCCGTTGTCGACCGAGCGTGGGTGAAGGGAGAATCTGGAAGCCGCGAACGTGTGTCTTGAAGGTACAGTTGGAGGTCGCGAAGCCAAGATGGCACTTGTCGGGGGTGAAGTGTGCGTGTGTGCTAGAGCGCACCTTTGCGATATTGAATGAATTTTGGGATGTTTGATGCTTCGGTATATCTATCCAGGATGCCCAATGATTGTTGATCAGTCTACGGCACACCTTTCGGTGTATATTTTGATGTTTGACTAACCAGACGGGGTCATTCACAAGAAAGGTCTAGTGTGCCATGCATGAGAGGGAGGCACCCAGCTTGGGTCGGGAGAGGACGGTACACGATGTAGACTAGCTTATCACCCGCGTTCCACATTACGCCCGCCACGGTTTAGCTCCTGTGTGAAGGGAAGGCCGGCCGTATGATGCGGTCCTTCATGAACATTAATGATACATCTTTCTGTGTTTCGCTGCGACATATATCGCGTGAAATTCATTCTTTCACATCAGTAGCAACACAAGGGCTCGTTTGCTGATGACGGGAAGCCGAAGAAGCAACTATAAATTGTATATTTCATGAACTCTCTGCTATGAATGGCGCATGCTGCATGTTCCTGTGCATATCTGTGTGCGTGCCAAGTTCTTCAGAAAATGACGCTCGAATATTCGTCTTCGTACAAAGAATTTCATTCCTCCTTCCCACTGCATGTTCAAAGGGGCTCGATATTCCACTGTGGCAAGCACCGGCATCGCGCAGAGACACTATACAATATGTACACAAGCTGATGATAAGACATGCACCGATGTTAGTATGCATGTATCCGTTACGTGTGCATAGGTGACACTGGATAATTGGTTCATCCAATTTAGGTATTATATCTGGGGTGTTTATTTTAATGAATTGTTCAGGTTTCGGGATTTGCAGGTTTTCAGGTTTGGGGAGTAATGTACACATTGATGTAGACAATATTTTTTTGTCTTCTTTCCGTCTGTCGCTGAGGCTGACAAACAAGACGAGTACATGTTCATGGCAAGGAAGCGATTTCCGCTGTGCACGTATTCTCGTACTTTTCCCGCGAACATTCAATGAAAAACCATGGACATCTAGCAAGGTTCCATTGGGCTTCCATGGAATACAATGGAATTCGATTACTGTTCATGGAGTTCCACGCTTCCATAGAATTCCATGGAATGAAATGAAATGTCGATGGAAGTCAATGGACGCTCATGGCATTTTTCACGAACGTTCATGCATAGATTCATGGATGTTCATGACATTTTTGTTATGAAACATTCCGTGAAAGAAATGGTTTCACTATATGTCATGGAAATTCATTACATGCATTCATGAACGCCCATGAACGTTTACGGAATGTGTCATAGAAGGTGGTCAATGGACATCCATGAAATGTTCATCGTGGAGTTCCACGGAATCAATAATGAACGTCCATGACACATTCACAGACGGTCAGACGGTCCATTGAACGCCATGGAATCCCATGGAATTCCTTATGACTATTTCAATTTCATGAACGTTGATGAACACTCGAGGATGCCCACGAAATGTTCTATAGACGTTGAAGAATGTCGACGTTTCTCGAGTTGAAGTGGGTTCTGACAATACCCGGGGGGGCGGCATTTAGCGGAAATTGATTGCCGTCTAAGATTATGTCGTCCAGTCTGCAATGGTTGTCGGAAAAACCACAACAAAAATGTTACTCTACGCGTTGTAACCTCTCCACAGAAAGCCGCGCCTGGGACGGGCGTTCGAACGGAAGTTGCACAGATCGCCCCTAGAGAACGGCACACCTTCCTGAAGGGAAGAGTTTTGAAGCGTTGTCCAGCAAGCGTAAAAGGAGACATTGGTCTAGCAGTTCTTGCCGACCATTCGGGATGGAACAAGGGGGCTGCGATTCATACATAAGTGCCGTCTGTTTTACCGACCGCAAACATTGTTCCATGACCAAGATGATACGCCTCGCGCAGAGTAGTCCCGTTTCGACACCGTCCGAAACCTCCTTTCCTTCAATGGGTCCGGTTGTTCCAAGACTGACCATGTTCAGTCGGCGTCTGTTGTTGCTACTCCTGGACTAGGCCACGATTTTGTACACCTCATGTTCACAGGCGTATTGCTCTTCCTGGATGCCTCAGCAGCACCAGCTGAGGCAACACAAAGACTGCATCTTGACCGGGAGGATGTCTTCACGCCACCGCCCTTTACACCGCAAGGCACAGCATCACATGTGGGGGTCCAGCAATCGATGAAATTCGTGCCAGCAAGGATGTACTCGTCTTCAGCATCACCCATCCGTCGTCAGTGACGCGACATAATCCTCGAAGTATATGTGTCCAGTTTCGGTGTCCTGAGATGAATTGGAAAGCCGAAGTTGCGCGCAATATGCTAACGAAATCGGAGTGAGCCCTTCAAGTTAAAGTGCAGTGAGAGCAACGTCTTACGAGAAAAAGCTATCGGTGCACAAATGATGGCGATATAGTAGTGGTGTGCACCTCAGATTGGCCCGGTCGGATGTCAAACAATGAGGTACTTTTGTGTCCCTAGAGGGTTTTTTGGTGCAATGCCATCTCTGGAGGTATGATCATGTTCAACTATTGTAGCGACTGGATATGCATCGTGAGCCTGAAGCGGCACCCGTGATGTTTTGGTCATTCCATAGACTATACAACAGGGGTGCTCTTGAGGAATAACTCTAATCAATAGTGTGAGGCGACCATCCGGAGCTCACTGTAACATTCATGTGCCTGCGTGGACATATCAATAACACTGTTCACATGGTCCAGCCTGCCTCAGTTACGATGTGTTTTGCACCCTCCTGAGGAAACGCTATTGCCTACCTTGGCAACGCTTAAGAAGGCCTCGATCTCCTTTGCTCGGAATGGCGTTCCCTTGCTCACGAGCAGTTCGTTCATCTTCGCGGTTTCGATGTAACCGCAGCCTTTTTCGTCGATGGCACGAAACGCCTGAGCAAGGAAGGCGTGCAAACGACCACGTATCAGGAAGCTGAGCTCGGAAAACACAAGGTTTCGGGAGCATTCATAGTATCTGTGCCGCCGACGAGGAACGGCCACGTGCACACGTTTCAGATATGATTTCGAGAAAACGCACCAAATGCTTCAAAGTACGATATATCTCCGGCCGCACGAAGATGGAGAAGCATGTTCGTTCAGCCGACTCGGGTATTCCGCTCAACCAGAACCGCCGGGCTTTGACGGTGTGAAACGTCACAAGAGGGGAGGTAGGGCGCAGTCGAGAAGCTCTTGCCTGCCCATGTTTCTCCTTTGGCACAGACGGGTACCATCGGCGTTTGTGCTGCTCGGCACGAGTGTGTTTCTTGAAAATCATTTCCGTGTTCAAAACTTTTTAGAAACATCACGTACCACTGCTCAACTGGATGTTTTCACCTCGGACGATGTCGTCGTCGCCAAACAGCGGCCGCATATATGTATAGGCCACAAGTTTGGTGTGAACACAACGAACTGGACTTCACGGTTCTTTAGGCCAAGGCACGGTTCTCGAGGGCAAGGCACGGCAGAATCCCTGTCACGCTGTAGAAGCATAGGCAAGCACTGCAGATGGAACGCGAAGAAAATGCAAACTCTGCATGGCCTTCCTCCTGCGTGGGTCCGGCTGATGATGTACCCAGAAAATACACCGATTGGTGTGTACTGCGGCATTCAGAGCGACCGAGACGACACAAAAACACGCAGTCTGTTTCCTTGCACATTGAGCCCAGAGGCTGGAACCTGTCGCTTAACCTCCTCCGCGGCCCCCTACCGGAAGAGCCCCGAAGTTTCAAAAGTGTTTCCGAGTTCTTCATCATGCTTTTAGACTGACGTCTTTTCAGCGGTCAGGTTGTTTACATGTAGTGCCGTCGATACTAGTCCATAGGAAACAAAAACACAACTAATCTCGCTGTCTATGTGTCAAGCGTTCTTTTTCATTAGACGTTTAGTTTCCACTTAGACCAGGAAGCGCAAGGCCTCGTCGGTGTCACTCTCCTTACCCTCAGCAAGACTTCTGGGGGATCAGGATCCCAAGCTCTTGACGCCAGTATCTCCAGCATTTTGGTCTCGAAAGAAGCATATGTTACGGCCGCCGTCACGTCATCTCCCTGGATTAAGGAGAACACGATAGTCACGGAGAAAAACAAAGAGCACGATACTCTTTTTCAATAACTTACTTGCAGTATTTGCGAGCAAACCGGAGAAATGGACAAAGGAACGAGCACCGATCTGGATAGTTTGTAACAGATTTGTTTTGTGGTGCCTTTCTCTGCACCCCCCCCAATCCTCCCGAAAAGACCTGGGGCATCGACCACTCCATACCTGACGCAACAAGCCGGTCGAGTTTGGGATCTGCAATGCCGAGGTGGCGGTAGCAACCCGATGTACCGTGCAAAGTATCCATTTACCCCATACTGGAAAAAAATACTTGAAATAACTGGAAACAGCGTACATGAAGTGGAACCCTGCCCACCGTTCCAAAACTTTAATATCCCGAAGCGCCAGCGAAGCGGATTTTGTCCATTTCCTATATTTCAATATCTGGTCACGGCTAGAGTCTTGATTCTGATTGCTGCGGTGAGTACTCTACTACTGACAGCCCGGTCTGTTCCAATCGTCTTCGTGCTTCCTCACTTGCATGTCCGGCAACACTTCCTGGGTCATGGCTTTTTCCGATGGGTACGCGCCGAGATATCGCATGATGGTGGAAACCTCCTCTTGTACCACACTACCTGCGAAGTGTGTTTGCACCAGTCGTTACAAGGCGATTGCATTGTCTTGAGAGAGTCCGTTTCCGGATGCGTCGAAATCTATGCCCGTCAAGGACAGTAACACATTGCGCGTGCCTGGAATAAGCAAGACAATGCAAATAATAATTTTCATTGGGCAATGTGTTTATGTACTGGTGGCGTTCTCACTCGTTGCTCGATTAACGATACGGCAATATTAGACAAATCGCACCACAGCCCACAGCCTTGTGCATATGACTGCGTACATACGAACCAAGTTGTACGTCAAGGTTTTTCGTTTCCTTTCGGCGCGTTCTCTCAACGACCAACGACATATATGATCAACGCCCGCCGTGGGACGCTGTTCAAAATACCCTTTGCGGTTCCTGAAGACAACTCGCCCGAAAGGCGTCCCAAGGAGGATGTACAACAATATCCTTTGTGAACTCCCGCCCCCTACACTGTTGGACTTTTTTTAGTGACAGGACACCTCGGGGCGTCCTCCAAGGCAGAGGGAGGTGCGAAAAAACGAAAGTATGGAATCTTATCCCGAGGTGAAAGTGTCCTGGGGCGTTGCCTGTTTGTTCTGCTTGGGGCTTCCCCTGGAAAAACACACAACATACGCGTTTGCCACGGACATCTCGCGCTGGGATCCGTGATGTCGGACCGGAACGAAGTCTACGGGAAGACATTCACAGAGAGAACAACGGCGACTGGGAAAGCATTCGCCGCTCTTTCCATGGGAATGATGCCTCTCCCTACGACATCACGGTCTTGTTCTTGCCGTTGTCGCCTTTTTTCGTCTGGCCATGCGTAGTTTCGATGTCGGTTTTGGTTCGACAGGCAAGCGTAAGGGTATCGCTTGAAGTTTAACGACCATACGGCACTTTAGGGGCAGACCTGCAGCATTGCAACTCGAGTGTTTGTCCGCGGAAGTACCAGTTCTTGCTCGATTTCGGTCGTCGGGGGATCGTTTTAAACTACTAGGGAAGAACAACGGCAACATCATCCGCAGCGATAATAACCAGTCAACAACAGCAGCGACGAAGTGTCGCCGGAAGGCTTGAGTTGGAAAACTGCGGGCCGCCATACAATACGAGGCGAACAAACATCACCTCGGGTGTTCCCAATGGCAGGTGGGCAAAAAGTGTAAGGCAAGTTGGGCGGGGTGTTTCTACAGTTGATGTGTTTCCCCCGTGTATTTTGGGCGGGGGTGTTCACACATAGTCTACCAAGTAACTGTCTACGGTAGGCAATGGTCGATGTCTGTGATACGGTGCTACAGTACAGCAGTACGAACTTGTAATCGAGTCTACTGAGTAGACACAATGCTGTTGTAGCGTAAACTATACGGACAGCTGCCGTGGAAGCCTCTCGCCTTTTTTGTCTTTATCGAAGAGAGCAAACGCTTCCTTGATGCGCTTTCTCTGTGCCTCCATCCAGTGTTCGTCTTGTGTCATCGCCATTTTGTGTCCCGTAATTTAGCGGCAACCTGCTGTGGCAAAGATGTGTGCCGCGGATTTTCTTCGACGAATCCTCGACCTTTGGTGCTGTGGTCGTTGCTCTTGTCTTCGCATGTAAACTGTTGTGGCCTCTATCGAGCAGTTCCTCTCCCTACCCTCCAAAGGCTACAGAGTCGATGTGCGTATACTATGCATATCCTCAACCAAGCTGAATAGCCGAACCACCCGAAGCTTGTTGTACTTACTGCGCATGCCGACGAGAATTTCCAAGAATACCGAACTCGTATTCTTTGTAACGGTCAATTGGAACTGTTTTTTTTTTTTTTCACCGGAGCCCCGCGGCTGGTCAGCAGCTGGTGCACCAGGAGGCTGGTTCCGTCAGCTCCAGAGCTCATCCCTGTCAGCTAGCTGCTAGCTGGTATTCGGAAATAGACAGGGTAGAGGGCCAGTCCTGCGAGGCGAGCCAAGCTGCGTCATGGACCGGAGGAAAATGAGTAGCCAGCAAACGAACCAGATGGAGGAACGCATGTGGGGAGTGCTGCGCCCCTTCTTCAGCAAGAAAGGGGAAGCAGCTGCTGCCAGAAGGTTGAATCACGGCTTATGGAAGGTAGGCGGGACATGGCTTACAGCAGTAGTACCTCTGCCGTGTGGGGGTGTGCCAGATCGCGCATGAAGACAATAGGAGTTTTCTAACGTGAGTGAAGAAGCATAGAGTGGAATGGCGAAGAAGAGGGAGGTGCAAGTTTGTTGTCTCGCCGTCTTCGGCGAACCGTGTGGCATAAGTTTTAGAGTCGTTCTCCGTCCTTCCCTGTTCCTCCATGGTCTGCCGTGCTTGTACACACACGAGCTTTCCTCTCCTTAGTAGACACCGCTCTTTCCCCCGTGCTGTAGCTCTTGTTTGTCGATAACTTTGTTCAGCATTAGGGGTAGCCTTGGACGACTTGTCAAATCCATAAATTGGGAGACGGTGGACGGTAGAGGAGCAAGGTCACCTTTGTCGAATTTCGAATAGCCCGCATTGTTCTTGAAGTTCCACCTGTACGCCGTAGCGCGTGAAATGACAGGTACGTAGCACGTGGCAGGTGCCTTTTGCTGCAAACGTCCGTGCACACCTGTGCCTTGTCTGGTTTGCCTCCTACAGCTGAGGTATTTGATGGTCATGTACTAGGTCAGGTTGATAACGTCCGCCGTGCGACACCGCCGCCCTTCGCGGACCTTATTTTTATTTTTTTTTATTGTTGTTGTTGAAGCAACAACGGGTTGTTCGTTGCCTTCACTGTTGTCGAAAGCATACCCGTGCGCTTGCAAACATGAGTCCAGCATCGTGCAATTGCGAATAGCGACAGCCCACGTGTTGCTTGTTGGCTGCATGTCGTCTTTCACGACAATCACGCGGGTGTTACTCTACAGACGGAACTGCTGTAGATCCCTCGAGGGCATCACCCTGTGATCGGATCGTTTTCAACCGCCGTCTTCGACAACACCTGCTGTTGAATAATCTACGGGTGGTTTTTCTTGCTGAAGAAACTCGTCTCTCGTAAAAGCAAGCTGTAGAGGCGACGGGAGTGGTAGGCACCCGCCCCTGAATATTCGCTACACGATTACTTGCACGAAGTTGCATTTTTTCCGAAACAAACCATGTGCATCCTTTCCATCTTCACCACAAGAGATCGACCCCGTCTGAATGTTGTTGAATCAGCCGCCCTTTTTGGCATGCTGGCTGTGGACCGGATCCGAGTTGACGAGAACGCTTGCTTTCGTCGTTTCTGAGTGCTTCGACCAACTGCCTTATGCTGCATCCATCCGGTACCTTCACGCACCAAGAAAAGGAATTTGCCCTCCCCCCCCCCGATGTTCTGCCATCGGGGTTGGGCTTTCGTCGCTTGGCAACGACGTTGTAAAACAAGCCGCCCCCCCCGGTGTTTTGCCATCGGGGTTGGGTTTTCGTCACTTGGCAACGACGTTGTAAAACAAGCCGCCCCCCCCCGGTGTTTTGCCATCGGGATTGGGTTTTCGTCGCTTGGCAACGACGTTGTACAAGAAGCCAAGTCACTTCGTGAACTCGGCAACCAGTTACCCTTTTTTTTTTCCTCTGTTTTTTTTTTGCGGTATCCATGAATGGTGGTCGAGTAGATCATGTTGTGCGGGGTCGAGAAGCCTCACTCCGCGCAAGGGGGATGATCGCACCACGTTGTGTTCAAATGGTCAAGGATCCTCGAGGCAGTTACACAGAGCTTACAACTGTCTCTGGAAGTGAAAGCACCAGAAAATAAATTAAGTCATACGCAGCTGTCATCCGTACGCAAGGAAGTAAGCACAAGGTGCCGAACACCCTTATAGCAGGATGCAGCTCACCCTTCATGCGACTCGCCAAATACCTCACGGCGCTTCGCGCTTGGTGATATGTGAGAGCCTGGTCCGGTGAGAACCCGGCGTGCTCCGTCCCGGCTTTGTAGGGATGCGAGGTCAATGGTCTAACGACTACGGCATGCACGACTATGAGTACACCCCCCCCCCCTTGCATGGGCTGTGGTGGCTACTTGCGATAGCGATAGGCTGACTACTCGCGGAACGGATCTCTGCCCGTTTTCGGCCGCCGTTCCAATCAAATCGTGTGTGGCGAGAAAAGTAAACAACGTTGACCAGCTCGTCCCGGGTTTGCAAGGCTGAAGCCCCTCGCAGAAGTGTGCGGACGTCAATTGCGGCTAATGCCACGTTGTATGTCGAAACTGCTGCGAATGAGACTCAATGGGCACGTACCGTACCCCGGAAGTCTTTGTCTCCGAACCCTTCCGGCAGAAATGCGTTGTGGTATGCGGGCAGTTCGGGGGTAATTTTCCGCGAATCCCCCAAGCTTAACCTTCGAGTTTGAGGTTTCAAGTCCCCGAAGGACGCGGTGACTATTTTCATCTTCATGTTCGAGTTTTTTTGCTTTTTACGTTTATCACGCAGAACGAATTTGAGTTCGCCATCGGCAACGGCAGGTTGTCTCCCCGAGCACGTGCTCGCGACACGTCCGGCCTTTTAGATGACTGTATATCGTGCATAGGTATCGTCTTGCGTGCGCAGCAATGCCTTACTAGGGCCATCGGTGTCTTGGTGCGTTTTTTTTGTCTTGCTGGAAGATCTGAACTCCTTGGTCTCCCTCTCGTGTGTGGCGTGTCTCCGCAGGCACCTCACGTGAGCCAGATTTGCCACTGGGACTGCGGCGTAAGCTGCGCCCAGATGGTCCTGAGAGGGCTCGGCCGAGAGGCCGAGAGATCGTCCCTGCTCGCGTCTCTGGGCACCCGCAGCGTCTGGACAATCGACCTGGCCATGCTCTTGCATCGTCAGGGAGTCAGGTGAGTCAAGAGTAGGGGCGCTGTGGGGTTATGTTGCGAATCATAGTGTTTCCGTGGCTGTCGTGAGCATTTGTTTTGTCCCGTGCAAGTTGCTCTGCTATTATTGTTTATTCAGAGAGGGCGAGGGTAGCGGCGGCGGCGGCGGCGGCTGTGCCGTCATGTGGTGTGTACATTTTCGGTCATGCATGGACAGAGATAGAGAAATCAGTGAGCAATTCAACCTGCGAGATAGGATCCATTGTTGGCATTCCCGTTGTTTGTTTTCCGCTTGCCGAATCTGTTGGTAAATCACTCCACCGAGCTCCTCAAGTGTCGTACATCTGCATTTTTTTTTTTTTCATTTTTCCATTTCAAACGTGGGTGCGATTTTGTATGGATTCTCGAAAGGCGATCCCCGCGCATGTACAAAGAAAATGAGTTTTTTGCCTCCAAAACCAATGTAAGTACAAGTATGATCGCTGCGCTGCTTGTTGTAGCGTAGTGGTGTATCGCGCCCAACGCTAACGTTGTAGCATCTTCCTCCCTTTGGTTGGTGCCTGCTGCTACGGCTGCTGCTTGCTGCAGATTCATGTACGGAACGCGCACCGCGGGGGTCACCGAGGCGTACTCGACGATCGACTTTTACCGCGCCAACTTCGACCACGACGCTCCCCGGGTGCAGTCGTTGTTCAAGGTGACGTCAGCCGAGATGGGTTTTTGTTTTTTCTCACGTACATACAGACCTGTCTCTCATGTCACATGGAAAATGTTGTACAGAGCAACGCGGCTGAGAACGGGAGCACTGCTAGATGCACCCCTCTTTTTCTGTTTTTTCTGTTGCAGGCGAGGCAAACTTTCCTCCCAACTGCCTTGTTGGTGTGCACCGTCCGCATCGTCTGCTGCAGGTCGCTACTATTGCCTCACAAAATGCTTGCCTATTGCCGTGTGCAGTATAGTGACAAGCAGCTGATTGCTTGGTTTTTCTAGCTGCCTCGCCATCGATAATCGAAAGGCGCCACTTCCAACGTAACAGTCTCGGCGGCCCGTTCTCGCCCTCGCGATGGGTTGTTCCAGGCGGCGGAGGAGGCCAACGTCGGCGCCGTCCAGAAAGCCTTCTCTTGGCAGGAGCTAGCCGTGCTCGTGTCGAGCTACAACTACGCCGCCATAGTGCTTGTAGACTCCCGCTACCTCCACCCCACCTCGTACCGAGGGTCGACAGCAGCAGCAGCAGCAGCAGCAGCAGCAGCAGCCCCGGCGCTGACGCCGTCGGCCCCTGTGCTAGTTCCGCCATCGCCATTTCTAGCCCCGCCGTCTCCGGCCGCCGCTGACGCCGTCGGGTCGACGCCGCCGCGGCAATCGTGGAGCACTCCAAAGCGCCACCGCGAAGAAGCTGAAGAGGGAGCAGGCGTTCGTGGGTGGGGGGGCTCCGGGGAATTCTCGGCGGGGGCGGGTGATGGGGCGAGGCGGCGGAGAAAGAGGCCGGCAGCGGCAAGAGCGACACCGATGGACGGCTCTCCCGGAGGCCCTAGGGAGGCGTTGGGTGCAGCCTCCGGAGCGAACGCGGCGATTGCATCACCCCTGAGCGCGCGAGACGCAAACACGGAACACCTTCGGTTGTCCCCTGCAGTCGGAGACGACGGTGGCGATATGGCGGTGTTCGTGACCCCGCCGGCACCTAAGAGCGGGAGGAAATATTTGGCAGGAGACCTGGGCGCCTCTTCACGGGCTGGGGGCACCGCCGGGGGTACCGCCGGTGCAATCAGCCAGCAGGGGGGGGAGAACGGTAGGCGGGGTGACCTGACGTCGGCGGAGCCCCCCGTCCAGAGCGCAATACCTTCCGCCACGGGGCCGGTGTCGCCTCCGACCCCCCCTCAATCGCCTTCGCCTGCTGGCTCTCCGCGTGGTTCCCCTCCACCAATACTGGTCGCTTCTCCGCCGCCGCTAAAGGCCGCCAGGCTCGAGTCTCCTCCTGCTAGCGGCGGCGATCGCGCGGCCTCGCCGCCGAGAGACTCGTCCTACTGCGGGCACTACATCCTTCTCGTCGGGTGGAGCGAGGCGGACGGGGTGTTCATCGCGAGGGACCCCGCTCTCCCGTCGTCCACGCCGTCGACGGCGACAGCCCCAGGCGGCGCCGGAGGCGGGGACCCCAACGCCCACGCGTGCATCGCGCTCACGCCGGAGGCGCTGGACAGGGCGCGGCGCAGCTACGGCACCGATGAGGACGTCCTCGTGATCGACCTAGCGCGCAGCCGCAAGGGCGGGGTCCCCACGGCCCCGCTGGCGGCGGCAGCGGCGGCGACGGCCTTGGCGGCGTCTGCGGCGAGCTCGGCGGCGGCGGCTTCGGCGATGGTCGGGATACTGGCGATGGCGGCCGCCGCCGCCGCGGCGGGGGCCGAGGCCTCGGGTTTCAAGGAGTGGGCGTGGCCCGATCGAGCGGCCTGGTTCAGCGGGCACCACGCCGCCGTCGTCGACAGCGCAGCCAACGTGGACGGCACCGGCGGCGCGGGAGCAAGTGGTGGAGACGAGGTTGTTGGGAGGCGAGGTGTACCGTTAAGCGGCGCCGAGTCGGCGGCCAGACGGCTCGCCAGCCTCCTGTCGCTCGCCGCAAGCGGGCTCCGTTTCCCGACGGTAGGGGACGCGTATCGCGGCCCCGGGGTTTTGTGGGGTAACGGGGCAACCGGCGGCGGCGGCGGCGGCGGAGGGAGCGGGAGCGGGAGCGGGAGCGGTGCCGACGCCGAGGAAAAGGAGGAGCAAGAACGGTGGGCCGTGCGTATGGCGAGCGCGATGCTTTTGGAAGGCGGCAGGCGGGCGGTCTACACTATGGAAGGGCTGCTGCAGGGGGGCAGACGGGCGGCCTACACCATGGAAGGCTTTCTGCAGGGAGGGGCCAACACGATGGAAGGGCTATTGCAGGGGGGAAGGAGGGCGGCGTACACCATGGAAGGCTTGCTGGAGGGGGGGAGGAGGGCGGCGTACAACCTTCGCGACCAGCTCGCGGACGTGGCGGACGCGCCGGGAGGGGCGGGTGCGGAGTGCTGCTCGATCGCGGTGTTAACCTCTCCCGGGTCGCCTGTGTCCCCCGCGAGGTTGCCGGTCGTGTCGCCGGCTTAGCCGCGTGTGTTTTGTCCTGGAGCGCGCTTCGACGGCGGGTTGCCAATACGGACGCCCAGCGTTCCGTTGTCGTCATTGCGGGCCTCGCGTTTCGCTCTCTCCACGGAATTTTGGGGTAGTCACAACGGTGTGCGTGTGGCGTAGTTGAGATATAGCTCAAGTGGGGTCGCCCGTTAACTGTGCTTTGTTGATTCTTGTCTGGTTATGGGTGGCCAGTGCTACTTTCGCGCGTGTTGGTGTGGGTCTCCTAGATTGGAGCGCACTACCTATTTCTGCTGTATTTTTTCAGGGATTGTAGCCATTAGACCCCATTTGGTAAGTTTCATGCTTGATCGCTCTCCGAGTCATGTGCGCGCGCGAACGGTTGCTGAGTGCACGGTTTTCCCCGTATGTAAGAGTGCTCGCTATTTATGTACGTATGCGTATGTCTGCTTTTCAGAAAATCAACCTTCAAGTATGATAAAAGGCAACCCCCCGGATAGTCCTGCCTCAACGAGGGGGGGGGGGGGGGGGGGGGGGGG